AAATCAAGCAAAATATAGAGAAAAAAGGAAAAATGATTATAATGCATCAGCCAAGTGAAAGTTTAGAGTATTAAAGTACCATATTAACATTATCAACGACTTGTTGGTTCGAGAGGAAATAATTTGATTTTTTTAAATAAAATTTTAAATTTTAATCTTATAAATAAAAAAACAATCACTGAAATAGTTTTCCTCAAATGAGGTCCAATACAACTCAATTTTGAATTAATCAAATTTCAATATGTTATTGAATACCGACATATTAATAAAAAATAATAATGTATTAACATTTCTACCCATGGAGTTGGCTTGATTTGTAACTGATTTAGAGTATCAAAGTACAATAATAAATAAATATTATTCATAAATTAACTAACTTATCCCGTTGATCTGCTTCTTTCTTCCTTGTTTTTAACTGAACGAGGAAGTCATCTGGTTCTTCCATGGTTTCTCCATCAGTATCACTACTTTCATCATCTGATGAATTTTTAGATTTGTTTTTCACGATCGCCTTTTTCTCACGCCTTTTCCTGACGTAGGCCTCCCAAACTGTTTCTGATTTCCTGTTCTTCTTCTCTAAAATGTGCTTGCTTATATCCTCCAAGCTCCACTATTGAAAGTGACCTCCATATCTTGCCCATCCTCCTCACCATCTCAATCTGAACCATCACCAGATTGGAGTAAAGCAAGGTACTTTTCTTTCTTTTTTTTTTTTTTTTTTTTTTTTGTATTTTTCTTCACAGATTGATCCTCATTGATGTCATCGTTCTCCTCGTCATCACTTTCACTCTCAAAAACTACTTTAATTAGCTCCACCTCAGCCAGCTATATGAAGACAGAATCATATCAGAACCCCATTAAACATTATATAGGCATTTCATAGTGAAGTGAAATACTAATTCAACTCACATTATTAGCTTCAAAAAGACTGAAGTAAACAGTACATCGGATCGGAAATACATAGAAATAACAGAGAAGAATCGTCAAGTAGTAATGTATTAAGCGTCATAGATCAATCATACTGACCTGTTCATCATTGAATTTCCGTTTCAAGGTCTTCATACGTTAACGTTGTGGTTCATCTTCATCCCTGGAAAGACGAATTTTACTTTTTGCGCGCGGTGCTTGGGTCTGGAAATATACACCTTCGTAACGTGTGATCACCGACAAGAGTTTCGCTTACTTGCTATCCATTAAGAAGTTTAATTAACAGCATTGACTACTATAATCACGTGGAATCATCGACGAAAGCTTGACTGCCCATTAATTTAAAATAAGTTCAAACCTTTACAATTTTTTTTTTTTAAACTAGTAAGAAAGAGAAATAAAATTGTTAAAATTTAACTCTTAAATTTTTAAAGATCATCGTACTTCTCAAAAAGGAATTGTGATTATTTAACCACAATGGTTGTCGGCAACCCTTCACAACTTCAATCAGGTGACTTTATAATAAAAGCAAATCACAAGAGACCTATTTCGGTTTCCACTTCACCATCACACACCATTGATTTTGACTCTACGCCACAAGACTCAAAAGCCACCCACTCATTTCTTAAAACCCAGAATCCAGACAACAAATCTTCAAGTTTAAGCTAGAAACAACAATATTGTTTCAGGCGAGTGATTGGGAGCCATGACTTGGTTTTGCACGTACAGTTGTGCGGTTGTACACTTGGTGGTGGGTTTGGTCTCAGGCCGCTGTTACGGGTTTGGGACGTTAGGGTTCGACATCCACCATCGGTTTTCGCACCGGTTAAGGGAATTCTGGGCGTTGTTGATTTGCTGCCGACGGGGAGTGAGGAATACTATAATGCTTGGGCCAAGCGCGACTGGATATTTCATGGCCGACGATTGGCGGCGGCTAATGATCAGACGCCGGTTACGTTTTTGGATGGAAACGAGACACATCGACTCGATGCTTTGGGATTGTATGCCTTTCTTTTCCTTTTTAATGATTTCTTACATTTTACAACAAGAACTATCATTCACTATAACTAGAAAAAAAATATTTTTTTATTCAAAATAATTGTTAAAGAGAGGGAAAAATTACCATAATATTTTATTAGACATTATATGAAAGAAAATTGGAAAGTAAAATATAAAATATAGAAGCTATTTGATTTTTTTTTTCAAGGATTTAAAGTACTTTTTGAAAATTATTTAAGAGTTGAGTGGGCGCCACCCCCCCTCGATCCCTCCGCCCCTGCCACCAGCTGTGGTGAACCATTGACCTCAAAAGCGCGCTTACACCCTCATGATTCTTCTTATTTCATATTTTTCTTCTCAGATTGATCCTCATTGACGTTATCGTTCTCCTCGTCATTACTTTCACTCTCATCAGAGGTCAAAAACTCCTTTAACTCCCACTTAGACAGCTATATATATGAATATGAAGACAGAATCATATCAGAACCATATTAAACGTTATATAGACATTTCATAATGAAGTAAGACTTATTTAAGTTACATTATTAGCTTGAGAAAGACTGAAGTAAACAGTATCGGATCGGAAATACATAGCAATAACGGAGAATCGTCAAGTAGTAACATGTTAAGCATCACGGTCAACCATACTGACCTGTTCATCATTGAATTTCCGTTTCAAGGTCTTCACACGTTCTGGTTCATCTAATTCATCCCAAGGACTTAAAAATGAATTTTAATTTGGAGGTTGGCTGAGTGTCTACCCATTAATAAGTTTAAATAACAGAATTGAGTACAGTAATCACCTAGGCTACAGATGGAGAGTTTGGCTGAATTGTTACTCATTAATTTAAAATTTGTTCAAACCTTTACAATGTCAGCCACCTATCATTGTGCAAAAGAAAATTCACGTTGGACCCAGTCTCCAAGCTTGCATGGCAACACGCAACCGCGGTTTCTTCTTCAGTATCACACTCATTCCATTGACTTTACCATTCAAGACTCAAAAGCCAGCCACTCATTTCTCAAAACCCATAATCCAGACTACAAATCTTCAAGCTTAAACTAGAAATTAACAATCTTTCTCGGAGAATTCTGGCTTTTTTCTCCGGGAAATTTTCAGGCGAGTAATTGGGAACCATGACTTGGTTAAGCACGCACAGTTGTGCGGTTGTGTTACTGGTGGTGGGTTTGGGCTCCGGCAGCTGTTACGGGTTTGGGACGTTCGGGTTCGATATCCACCATCGGTTCTCGGATCCGGTTAAGGGAGTTCTGGGTGTCAACGATTTGCCGCCGAAGGGGAGTGTGGAGTACTATAATGCTTGGGCCAAGCGCGACCGGATATTTCATGGCCGACGATTGGCGGCTGCTAATGATCAGACGCCGGTTACGTTTCTGGATGGAAACGAGACGCTTCGACTCGATATTTTTGGATTGTATGCCTCTCTTTTCCTTTTTAAATTACAGAGTGATGATTAATGATTTTTTTAATGGAGTAGCGATTTTATTTTATTTTTCGAAATTTAAATACAGTTTGGGAATTTTCGGAAAGAAAATTGGAAAAGATGTCTTTTTACGTTTTTTTTTTTTTTTGGAAGACTACTCTTTTTTCTTTTTTTCTTGTTTTTTTGTCTTTCCCCTTTATGTTCTGTTTTATCAGCTCACCAATTTACCTAAAACAAAAGGTGTGGGATTTTTTAGAGGTTGGCTAATTGGATGTTTCAGCCTTTTGTTAGCTAATGTTTCTCTTTCTAAATTTGTATGGCATCTCAGCTTGTATTATGCGAACGTCACAATAGGAACACCGGCTTTGTCATTTATAGTGGCACTAGACACTGGCAGTAACCTGTTCTGGTTGCCGTGCAATTGTTCTAGTTGTGTACGTGAGTGGGTTTTATCAAAGCGAAAGGTATTCTGGTTTTTCACTTTAAATTTTCATTTCTTTAACGTTGTTAGAGAGGAGAGACTCTGTAGATTTCGTTCCCTGCGAAATTCTATACTTGATGAGGAAGATAGCTGTGTTTTGTTAATTATTTTGATTCTACAGATGGCTGTTTTGGTTGCTAGAACTTGTACTGCAGAATACATATTGTGTTCCATGAATCTTAAATGATCATATAAAAAGTGCACCTTGATCAACTTAAATTGAATAGAATAGCTGTTCGTGCATATATATGTGTGGTTCTTTTATTTGAGTTGATATATTAAAAAG